CATGTCATCCCAAAAGCGTAGATCGACACTCAAGTAATCTTTCAATTGACTGTCATAGTCCAGCTTCGATTATTTACAGACCACCATCATATAGCTCGAATATTGCTGGGGCGGCATTAAACAACGAGCAAAACAACTGTCAAGAACATCAATAGTGGAATACATCTACATTCAACCACCGCATAAGGAGGAGTGAGGAGTAGTATTATTAGCTATTATGTGAGTGAGTGAGTTTAGTTTTCCGCCGTTTTTAGCAATACTCCAACAATATCACGGCGCGGGACACCAGAAATGGGCTTCACATATTGTACCAATGTTGGGAATCGAACCCGGGTCTTCTCCGTGACGAGCGAACGTTTTACCCATTAGGCTACCCCAGCTAATATGCATCAATATGTGACACGTACATAAAGACTGTGTTAATTGGTCTTCGTAAGGCACACGGTTTCTTCTAATGAACACTCTGCCAACAAATTATAACCCAAGTGACGCAAAAGTGTCAAAATGAACACTTTTTATCACACAACAATTTAACTTCTGTCCAGAGAAAGAGTGCAGTAGGATACCGGATCGACATTAAACATACCATAAACACCAGCAGTGTTGAGAAAAGAATCGATCATACCTGTACAAGGTATTCATTAAACTCCACAGGGTGTACTTATCCCAGGTGTGGCGTGAGCAGATATATAAATATATATCGATTATTTGGTATATGTGTTTATCTTTATTGCTCGATCGCTGTTTAAGGCCGTTGCCGGAAAAATATATAACATATGTTATATTTGGGATTACACTTTCTTAGTAAAGTACAGATTCTAGTACTTTTGGGGTTTAGTCCCATCCGGGATTCGAACCTACACCCTCAGAGTCAGGCACCTAATCGCCAGCACACAAAGTCAGACGCCTTTTAAAATATACATTACATCCCCAACCTAAAGACATGTCCATTCCTCCATTCTCCCAAAGCTTAACAAATTTGGCAACATTAGTATGTTCATCGGATTACATGTATAAAAAACAATGTTCTTCACTCAGTCTGGTTGTTAACTGAAATAACTGAAGAAAAAGAACTTTAAAGCACTTTATGTCAGTAAATACTAGTGTTGGGAATTGGTTTAAACCTCATAATTGATGATTGGTTCATTACATCGATCAATCATCGAAAAAAAATGGTTAGCGTCATTGATCAGTTTTTCCTCGTTGTGTTTGGATATGCACAAAAAATAAAAACAAAATCTTTAGTTCTCTCTGGTTTATTTTGCAAATTGCACAAAATGCATTTTGCAAATCTGACATCTTTAAAGGATGACTAGTACGTTAGGAACATAAATTCACTGGAGTCTTTAAGATAAATTCAGTCATGACTTGGAACGAGCTTGTTCCAAAAATGTTTGTGTTCGATTATGAAAAAACATGATCGATTGCTTGGTCGTTTAGTCATTGCGACCAATCTTTGATTAGTTCAATCAATCGGATCACCACTAGTCAATACCTATTCAGAATTATATAATGCTTCGCAAAAGCTTCACACGATGAACAGTGAAATGATGTCTGTGCTGAATGTACGTCAGGGAAAATGACTAATTGAATTGTATATTTATGTGTTATAATTACTGGAGAATTAATGTCTACACAATAACAAATACATTACTTTACACTAAAATATCAATCCAATGGATGTATTCTGCTTTCCTAAAATATATCTGTCTTTATATAAGTAGTTAGGTACATATACTTTCGTTAATGTGTCTGTCCACAAAAGCAGTTGATTTCATTGTACTCAAGCACCTGAGACCTTTCACTACCCTACAAATATTGATGTCTATCATTTTGATGTGCTTGTGAATAGCAACGAGTCAAGGGACAATTCTGACTATATTGTGAGTGAGTGAGTATGCCAATATTCCAGCAATATCACGGCGGGGGACACCAGAAATGGGCTGCACACATAGTACCCATGTAGGGAATTGAATCAGGTCTTCAGCGTAAAAAAGCCGACGCTCGAACCATTTGTGTTTATTTAACGCGGAATGTTGTTACCTTGATCGAACAACTTCTGAGCAAGAGTCGTACAACGCTCTTTGAAATCTTAGTAAAAAGAACATGCTCGATTGTACCATCAGTAGGTCTGGAACAGAACTAACTAAAGCTTGAGCTGATTGAATATTGCTCAGCATGAAGTACAGTTAACCATTGAAGTGTGAAATCAGCCTTTTAGTCATGGAGCCTTTGGGAGACTATGTGCGACGCCGAATCTTTATGCATCGATCTAAATATCAAACAGTTGAGTCGGTGCCTACTTTTTGTCTAAATGTTTTACAAAGATATAATCAACAAGGAAGTCAATGGATACATATATGTACATACAAGCACTGGTAATATTTGTAAAAATGTGGAAATTTTTACCTTATCATCTCGCCTGTTATTTGACGAAACATGCTGTCACACTCGTCTGTGAACATACTTCTGAACCCGTAGGCTATGCAGTTTTGCATGCATTTATTCACATGTGTATGCATATTTTATGCATGTGTATATACATAAATCGCATTACGTACAGGTATATTTACTCTAAGATAAGATTTAGATTTGGAACTTGATGTAAATTTGCTTGTTTGATCATTTGTGTTGTACTCAAGAGACACAAGTGAATCCATATGGCGCATTAGGTAGTCTGTAGTGGTGTATGGGTTCGTCAAAATGAACTGACCCAATCACGTCGTACAGACAAGATATCACGTTACTCACGCAATATACCAGCTATATAGCATTGATCAACAGCATAAGCATCGATCTGCGCAATTGGGAACCGATGACATGTGTCAACCAAGTCAGCGAGCCTGACCACCCGATCCCGTTGGTCGCTGGAGATGTGTATTCTAACCCGGACCTTCACGGGTAGTAAATAGGTTAGCATGACGAGTACACAGACAATGTACTTATATATTTACGCTAATATATCGATTTGCACACAGTTACGCATTAAATGAGGTAAAGGGCTCAACACACAAAGCAAATGCATACCTTTTCAAGAAAACCCCATATTGAGATAAATCTACAAACTCAGCTCACCCTGTGTAACCGTAAAGATCCGGGTTTGAATTGGCAGTCAGCAAACCATGAGAGGCGACTAACGGAATCGGGTGGTCAGAGTTGCTGACTTGATTGACACATGTCATCGAGTCCCAGTTGAGTAGATCGATGCTCATGCTGTTGATCACTGGATGGTCTGTTCCAGACTCGATTATTTACAGCCTGCCACCATGTAACTGAGTCTTACTGTATTGAGGCTACGGATCGAAAGATGGCTACAAATCACAAACTTCATGAACTCCCCAGTCTCTTTCCCACTAAGGTGAGGTGAAATGGGATTTAACGTCAATATTTCGCTCATATGACGATGTGCATGCGTGTGTATGTATAGCTGCTTGAACTCGCCTAGACTTAAACTTGGTTTATAGTGCAACGCTCTAACCACTGCACCACGGAGGCGGGCCTTTCTTACCATGGATGTATACTTTATTAAATCGAAGTAAACTTAAAGGATTTTAGACTTAAAACAAAACTTGTCACGGGTTATGGAAAACAGTATGTCCGCCTTAGGAACACCGAATATAGTTCTTCTCTCTCATATGTCAAGGATATGAACTATTAATTGTCTTGAGTGGTTGATTTTAGTTTCAAGTGACAAGTTGGACTTGTCCTGCGTCCAATGAACGTTTTAATGTCAAACATAACAACCTCCTGACAATGACATTTAACATTTGTTAAAGTCTAGCCTTTAAATCACACTTAACGCATTGCAATTATCTTGTTTAGGAAACACCAGAACGGAAGTTTGTCCCACAGTCGCAATAGGCGCCCTACCAAACAAAGTTTAAACATTAAGCAGTACCATTGTATCCACAGCGGTAGAAGGAAGGTAATGTGTACAAGGATTTACGATGTCGCATTGCAAATTCGCATACTGAAAGCCGTTGTGGTCATTTTTGTCCTACAATCGACTTATAACAAATACAATCAAAGATAACATTTTGTGCCGTATATGCTGGACACAGGAACGTATATCTTTGCAAGGATTCTAGGTAGTTTGGACACTCGTGAAGATCCAGGTTAGAATATTGATCTTCAATAACCCATACTTGTAAGAGGCGACTAACGGGATCGGGTGGTCAGGCCAGCTGACTTGATTGACACATGTCATCGTATCCCAATTGCATAGATCGATGCTCATGATGGTGATCACTGTATTATCTGGTCCAAACTAGACTATTTACCGACCGCTGCCATAAAGCTGGAATATTGGTGAGTGGAGCGTTAAACAACAAACAAACAAACAAACGTGTTGTTTCATTTTTACTTTCCTCTCTTACAAATAGCGTGCCTTTCTATTTTTTCCATTTTTCATATATAAGGATGTGTGTGGGTGAGGAATTAATGGCTGTCATCTCCTCTATAATAAGGAACATAACCTTTCGGTGAAAAATGTTACAGTCAATGTCTACAATCAGGCAATGTGTACAATGACTGAAATAACCAGTCAATGTGTTAAAGCGTTCGCTCGTCACGTCGAAGACCCGGGCTCGATTCCCCACATGGGTACAATGTGTGAAGTCTATTTCTGGTGTCCCCCGCCGTGATATTGCTGGAATATTGCTAGAAGCGGCGTAAAACTAAAATCACTCACTACTCAGGTGTAAACACCAGCTGCATCACTAATCCTCTCACTTACAACCATTATGTGTTCATTTCGTCGGCTATATTGTCCTGATATACATATCTCAAAATTTCCTCCATTACCACGTCAAAGTATGCCCACTCTCCCATGCACTTTTAGAGCGGCATTAATCAGAAAAAGCTGAAAAATATGCCTTTTATTAATCAGGTTTTCCAAAGCCAGAAAGGACCCCATTTGCATATCAAAGGAAAACGAATTGCAGCTGACAAAATTATCCATGAAGAAGGTCACGTGTTGTAGCAGATGTTGTAACCTAGATTTCCTGCGCTTGCTAACAGTCTATATAAGGTTTTATTGTCATGTTTAATGACAGCTGTGAACATAGCTTATACTCCTTCAGTTGAAGGTGTTGAGGAGGGCTGAGACTGCTGGCCACGAGAAGGCAGGATACAGTAGACTGCAGGATCAGTTTCCCGGAGGACGTGTCCGAACAGGCGCCGCTCAACTGTAGAACAAAAGGTATACTGTTTGATATATATAACTTCAGGTTCTGAACACGTTAACATTACACCCTTAACCCCACCTCTCTCTTTCTCTCTCCTCCCTCTCGCGATCTTCTCTCACTTTCTCAGTCCCTCATCTCCCCCTCTCTCTCTCTCTTCTCTCTTTCTTCTCTCGCTCCCCTCCTGCTCTCTGTGTCGATCTGTCTCCCTTCCCTCCTCTCTCGCCTCCTCTCTGTGTCTCTCTTCCCCTCTCTCGTCAGTTGGTTAGTGGGTGTTGTTTGTGAAGAAGAAAAACCTAGACAGTGTTTCATCAGTTCCTTAGTTGTTTTATCTGAATTGCAGAAAACGAAATGTTGTGTAAAATGGTTAAGGAGCGTTGTCAACGTCGTAGAAAACGTTCTTTTGCGTCAGTTGGTTCGTGGGCGGTGTCAGCGTTGCAGAAAATGTCTGGTTTGTGTCAGATGGTTGGTGGGCGTTGACAACGTTGCAGAAAACGTTGTGTTACTGGATGTTGATATAGTAGCAGACTACACAATCAGTGTTGCATTGTCAGGCCGTTACTTGACATTGCTAACGTAGGCAATCGCGTTGTCAGTGTGGTTATCGGGTATTGTCAACGATAGTAGAGCACATGAAAGTAGCTGAGTCAGTTGGTCAATGGCATAGTAAACATAGCAGAACACAACATATATTTTGGTGTAAACATAGTAGAACACAACATGTATGTTGTTTGTCAACATAGTAGAGCACATGTATGTTGTTTGTCAACATGTCAACATAGTAGAACACAACATGTATGTTGTTGTCAACATAATAGAACACAGCATCTATGTTTTTTTGTCAACATAGTAGAACACAGCGTGTATGTTGTTTGTCAACATAGTAGAAAACAACGTGTATGTTGTTTGTCAACATGTCAACATAGTAGAACACAACATGTATGTTATTTGTCAACATAGTAGAATACAACATTATATTGTTGTCACGATAGTAGAACACATAAAAGTAGCAGAGTCAATTGGTCAATGACGTGGTCAACACAGTAGAACACAACATGTATGTTGGTGTCAAGACAGTAGAACACAACATGTATGTTGGTTTCAACATAGAACACAACATGTTTGTGGTTGTCAAGATAGTAGAGCACATGGAAGTAGCTGAGTCAGTTGGCCAATGGCGTGGTCAACACAGTAGAACACAACATGTATGTTGGTGTCAACATAGAACACAACATGTTTGTGGTTGTCAAGATAGTAGAACGCATAAAAGTAGTTGAGTCACTTGGTCAATGGCATGGTCAACATAGTAGAACACAACATGTATGTTGTATGTCAACATAGTAGAACACATGTATGTTGTGTTTGTCAACATGTCAACATAGTAGAACACAAAATGTATGTTGTTGTCAACATAGTAGAACACAACATGTATGTTGTTATCAACATAGTAGAACACAGCATGTATGTTGTTTGTCAACATAGTAGAACACAACATGTATGTTGTTTGTCAACATAGTAGAACACATGTATATTGTTTGTCAACATGTGAACATAGTAGAACACAAATGTATGTGTTGTCAACATAGTAGAACACAACATGTATGTTGTTTGTCAACATAGTGGAACATAACATGTATGTTGTCAACATAGTAGAACACAACATGTATGTTGTTGTCAACATAGTAGGACTCAACGTGTATGCTGTTTGTGAACATAGTAGAACACAGCATGTATGTTGTTTGTGAACATAGTAGAACACAACATGTATGTTGTTTGTCAACATAGTAGAACACAACATGTATGTTGTTTGTCAACATGGTAGAACACACCATGTTTGTTGTTTGTCAATATGTCAACATAGTAGAACACATCATGCATGTTGTTGTCAACATAGTGGAACACAACATGTATGTTGTTTGTCAACATATTTTATACACGTGGTGTGTGCGTACTTGGGTGAGCAAGCATGGGTGATAATCAGAGCGAATCTTGGATTGTGCACCAATGGCTCCTGGCAATTCAGGGGATGCATTAGAAATGCAAGAGGTATTTGGTAATAGACAATTATGGTAACAGATATTGTGGTTATTTGCTTTGCTGTGGTAAGAGTGATGGTATATATACTTTTAACAATATTGTAATTCTAAATCAGTTGTAGGTTTCACTTCTTTGACTTCTATGGTCATTGTATAGACAATGATCTAACAACTTTGGATACCCCGCCGCCCTAAGAACAGCGTAAACACGAACTCCCTCACTATCCGTAATATCATGAATCCTTGTTAGTTAATACAGGCGGATTAATATTGGTCTGACACCTTTTAAGATTATCAGATTACTGGTCCTTATTACTCCCTCTCTTCGCTTTCGGCCCGTGTTGTAGTAAATCGTATTGTTATTACCGATTAATAAATTGTAAATAATATTGTTACAACTCATGTTCTTAATTTAAACAGATAATATTGTGATGTTAAAATGTATATATGAAAACTGGCTCTTGAGTGTAATTGCGTAATTATGGACATGTATACTTGGTCGTCACTATATGGCGGAAACAATTTTTACGTTAAATGTAAACTCACTCACTCATTACTACCTTTTCAATTGTATATACACGTTCCAATCAATAAGGACCCGTGAAGATCCGGGGTAGAATTGGTCTTCAGCAACCCATGCTTGTCGTAAGAGGCGACTAATGGGATCGGGTGGTCAGGCTTGCTGACTTGGTTGACACATGCCATCGGTTTCCAATGTTCATGATGCTGATCACTGGATTGTCTGGTCCAGACTTGATTATTTACAGACCGCCGCCACATAGCTGGAATATTGCTGAGTCCAGCATAAAACTGAACTCAGTCACTCACTTCAATCAATAATCACCCAGAGGTGTTCGTATAAACGAGGTCATGACAAACGATGTTCATTGCAACATTCAGTCTTTGCCAGACCACATGATACGTTTGAATGTTGACTACATGCTGATGTACGAGGCTGCCTCGTAACTGATATGGTTGATATACGAGTATCGATTACGTATATGTAACTGCTGATAAACTGTATTCACAAATATCTATATACACTAATGCACGGATTATTTAAATTTAATGTACATGGTGTATTGCCATGGCTTTCAAGAGACATAGTCTGTGGTGTTGTAGATATCTGTCAGGTGCAACAGCTGTCTTCTCTTCACTGATTGTCATTGATCCGCAAAGGATGTATGCCTCATCCTGCTACACAAGTGATAAATATTCATATATTTGCCATGATAATAGCAACGTGAGCCAAGAAATGTCAATAAAGCGACATACATTTATTTGTTTTTATATTCCCACTTCACTTTTATCTGAAAAATGTTTCCCTAGACTTTCTCTGAACGACCCACTTGGGCCATGAATGTTTCATCAAACGGAATAGTATAACGCTATATAAAATCTTGTAAAATAAAAGATTGTACATGAAATGTTGTGAAATACAGTCATTCTTTCAATGTATTGAGCGGGTGGTGGGGTTGCCTAGTGGTTAAAACGTTTGCCGGGTTCGATTCCCCTGATGGGTTCTATGTACGCCCCCGACCGTGATATTCCTGGAATATTCCTAGAACCATTCTCACTCATTGTAAGAAGGATCATGGGGTACTTGCACTGGAGTCTAGTGTTGGGATTGGTTAAAATCTCATAATTGATGATTGGTTCATTACAACCGATCAATCATCGAAAATAATTGGTTAGCGTCATTTATGAAATTTGTTAATGCACATAAAAATAAGGAAAAGAACAATGTAGTTCTTTGGGGGCTTTTTGGCAAAATTTCACATCTTTAAAGGATGACTAGCATGTTAGGAACATAAATTTCTTGGAGCCTTTAAGATAAATTCAGTCATGACTTGAAACGAGCTTGTAGTGCTTACAAAATGTAACAGTAACCAACCTTGTGAAAAATATTGTTAATGAAAACAAGTGTTCCAAAATTGGTTGTGTTCGATTATGAGAAATTATGATCGATTGCTTTGTCGTTTAGTCACTACGACCAATCTTCGATTATTTCAATTAATCGGACCACCACTACTGGAGTCTGATTTCGCATAGTTAACATTCTTGTGTTATATGTGGCACCAATGCGCGAAACAGTGTGTGTTTCCAAATCTTGCTAGCCAGTCGGGCTAGCTATACCTAAAAGTTACTAGCCCACAAAATAATTCACTAGCCCGAAATTTGAATTTAGAAAACAAGCAACATATTGCAAAAATAAATGACAATTAGATATTGTCGGCAGGACACGGGTTTCGTCATTAAACCGCTAATATTATGAACATTTTTTTTTATCAGGCCATAATCTTTTAAAAGTGTATCCTAACTTAACAAGTCGGAGAGGAGTGGTATATTTACAAAATCACCCTATGAAAATTCACTAGCCAGTCGGGCCAGTGACTGTGGAGATTTACTGGCCGGACTAGATTTTTACTAGTCACTGGCAAATGATGTGTCACTAACAGGTAGTTCTTAGATCAAACAACCCAGTGATACTTACGTATAGTGGCTGTGTCATGTGATACCTTATCAGTAGGAAAAACGACAAACGTTTCATACATCTCGGCAAGATCATACAGGACACCTGTTTGGTTCAGAATGAGTCTATTCCAAATCTATTTCTTCTTGTTCAGTTTGCACATACGTCCAACTACAGCATTACACACCAACTAATCCACCCCGAAAGACACCCAACAGGCTTGTCTTCTCCTTGGGCCTATTAATTTGCATATGCTTCCACAATATCCGCAATAATCTTGAAATTGAGATCCCAACTTATAAAAGGTTTAATATTATTGTCTAAAGTTAAGCTACTGGAAAATATTCTTATAGTCAGCCATAGAAAATTCACCTGTGATTATATGATCAACGAGTTGATGGAGAGACGATGAGCGTTCACAATAGCTTCAGTTTAAAAAGTACACCTGAATAACTTCGTATGGGAATTGTTTGTCTGTTGTCAGTTATTCAAATTTGGTCTGTTTTTGGACATTTAGGAAAACTGATGTTATTAGATAATGTTAATTAAGTTTAAAACAACAATTCGGTGGTTTGATTAGGAGATAAACATACTGTGAGGGAAAATCAGAGGTATATAACGAAATTATGATAGTTCTAACTTTCATTTAAAACCGAACGCGTAGCGTGAGGTTTCAAATGAAAACATTAGAGCTATTATAATTTCGTTATATACCTCTGATTTTCCAACACGGTAGGTTTATCTCCATTCTACCATGACAATTTTACGAACAGTTTCAGTTGGAACTCTTTCTTTATTCGGAAGCAGACGATGTTTTGATCTTGTTCGACTGAATATTTGTTTCTATGCTTTCGAAGTACTTTTGTATGTATAAACACCTATTGCTGTGATTTACGCAAGTAGTGAGTCGAGCCCGTCATCGCTTAATCCATCTTTAAAGACATATGTGTAATTTCCGACAGCAAAATCGCCGTAATTTATCGATGCATCGGTAGGTTGTTTGGTGTCCGCCATGGTGGGCAGACACAAATATAGTGCATTACCGTAAACCATGTATAATTGCGCACGGAAAATCAGAGACCTGTATAACGTGATTATATACCTCTGAATGACTTTAATTAACCAATGACAATCCAGTGTTTACTGAAGTCATGGTAGAATAATTATTAATCCAAGGAAATCCTGGTTTAGTGGCATCGGTTTCTGATTTGGCCAGATATGTCAAAGCAACATCAACACCTATACTCTGTCATCAGTCAGTTTGGCTGTTTGCTGTTTGATAGCACATCCATCAGCACAAAGGTTACCCAAAAGGTCCCAGTATGTGTTGATTGAGGGACAGCCAATCCCCAGAATCAATGGCATTATTTGGTCTTCTCTTTTTCTTGTGGCCATGACTGCCGCACCGCCTAAAGAGTACAGACTCAAACCTATGACAGTGGTGAGGTGAGGTGAAATGGGGTTTAAAATCGTACTTCAGAATATTAAGGGCACGACTGAATACAGGTCGCGTTCGTCAAGTACTCTCCGGAGACAGCGAGATCCAGTCCTCTTTGCAACAAAGTGCCGAATGTCTGTATTAAAGGTGAGGTGAGGTGACATGGGTTTAACGTCGTACTTGAGAATCTTTCGCTCATATGACGACGTGCATGCGTGTGTATGTGTATGTGTGGCTGCTTGTACTAGCCCAGACTTAAGCTGCTTTTATAGTGCCAGCTCACTGAGATACCATGCCGCAGTTAAGCATGAGTACCCCTCTCAGACACATTATACTGACTCCGAGCCGACCAGTCCTTGCTGTACCCATTAATGCCGAATGAGAGGCAGGGATAAAAAAGTACCATATTTTAACGATCGATCTACGCAATTGGAATATGATGACATTTGACAACCAACTCATCTGAAGGGATAGGATGGTCAAGCTCACTGATTTGGTTGATATTACAGTATCTGAATTGCGGAGACCATCGCTTATTGTGCAGAACTGGATTGCCTGAACCAAACTCGATTATCTGCAGACCAGGTCACGTATAGTTGGAATATTGCTGTGTTCAGCGTGAAGCAAGTAAACCAGACACAAATGGACATTATGGAGTCCTACATACAAAGATACTCATGTGGTGGCCCACTGTTGCTATGGCCCACTACACTATTATAGCGAACACCTGTGTCACCATGGACATTTCACGATGGGACACGAGTTATGAAGTTTCGCGTGAGATACTCATCTGGATATCTCTAATTCGCCGATATTGTAATAAATTTTATGAATTTATTGAATTTAGCATTTTTTAATCATTCGAATGCTGCATCAGTTTATCTGGTTTAAAGTGTCACTATAAACTATAATTTGCATCATCATTATAGAAAACTGTCAACATTGTCCTTGACCCGAAATTATTCTTGTGAAAAGGATGAAAGAAATCGCAGCAAAAACATGACTAAGAAGTATTGTTCAGACCACTAAATTTACACTTCAGAGTTGACCATCCTCATTTAAATGATCCGTGTTAGAGTTGGCCCTCAGTAACCTATGCTTGCCGTAAGAGGCGACTAACGGGATCGGGTGGTCAGGCTCGCTGACTTGGTTAACACATGTCATCGTATCCCAATTTGTAGGTCGATGCTTTTGATGCTGATCACTGGACTGTCTGGTCCAGACTCGAATATTTACAGACCGCGGCCATCTAGCTGAGTGCGGCATAAACTCAACTCACTCACTCACTCACTCCAATAAATAATCATCCAGAGGTGTCCTTATAAACGAGGTCATGACAAACGATGTTCATTGCACCATTCAAATTTCGCCAGACCACATGATAGTTTTGAGTGAGTGAGTGAGTTATTGTTTAACGTCACATCGGCAATATTTCAGCCGTATCGTGACGAGAACATATGTGACATTGAAATGGAATAGATGTATATTATAAAAACCTGTCAACGAAGGACAGTAAAACAACTAGAATATCACAATTACAACTAAAACTAATGTGGAAAATTAAAACTAATAGCACTATTTTGACAATACAATATAAAAACCGGCTGATGGTTGATATGTGTACGTTACTATCGATTACGTATATGTAACTGCTGATAAACTGTATTCACAAATATGAATATATACTAATGCATGGATTAAAAGATATTGCTCAGACCACTAAATCTATATCTCAGAGCTTAACATACTCATTTAAGTGCTTCAGAAAATATATTCATGTGGACTTATTCTAAAAACAATATGTTGCAAAGAACACAAAACATTCCTTTATACAACACTGCTCCACACGTCAAATTATCACATTTCTTGATTTATAGGGCTTTTGTCAAAAACATAAAATCAAATGCTGTAGGTTTACTGAGAAAACATTATTTAAAATGACCGTGTTTCGTATAAACAACTTCGATGTGAAGTTTGGAGATGAAACATTTAAGCAAGAAGAAGGCATTCTCATGGATCCGGTTAAAACCTTCTTCCTCTTCATTTCTTTCGTTCAAAGATGGGTAAATGGTCATTTACCTTACCTAAATTGGGGCGGCGGGGTAGCCTCGTGGTCAAAGGGTTCGCTTTGTCACGCTGAAGCACCGGGTTCGATTCCCCACATTTGTACAATGTGTGAAGCCAATGTTTGGTTCCCCCGCCGCGATATTGCTTGGATATTGCTAAAAGTGGCGTAAAACTATACTCATTCACTCACTCACCCTTACATAAATTATACAATATGCATAAAGAGATTCAAAGTGATTCAGAAGAGATCCAACAGAAAGTATGTCAAGAGGGATGACTTTAAATGCCTTATTCCAGTAACTCCAGTCTTTGTTATATTTAATGCCAAACATGTCAGAGTTGCCTTGCCTTTGCATGTGTTTCTTCTTTGAGTGTCATGTGTTTGAGACGGGGGCCCTTGGGCTAGGGTATTCATTTATTATCGCTGGTACCTTATGTTATCACTATTTCAAAATGATTCATTGACATATGCTCATGACAATCGGAATCGTACAATCGACTCTGCTTTAAGCAGAGATTTTTATTCATATAGGCTTTGCTGCTCTTATTACGAATTCAATGGCAACCCTGTTATCTCTAACCCTGAAGACTAAGTATGCCATTGATAACGCAGCAACATCATTGCAGCTGTCGTCTATTGAGTACACAATTGCTGTCTTTAAAAGTTTTTCGCCGCTTTTAGCAACATTCCTGCGGCGGGGGGCACCATAAATGGGCTTCACACATTATACTCATGTGGGGAATCGAACCCGGGTGTTCAGTGTGAGGAGCGAGAGCTTTAACCATTAGGCTACCCCACCGCTCCTTTTGAAATGAAATAGATACTCTCATGTCCATGTCTGTTCAACTTATAAAAGAAATATGAGAAAACCAAGCGAATCCTGAAAGATTTGAGGGCCTATAGTAACATGTGCCCCTAACAAATAACAGTATACTACCCTTTCTTCACTAGACACAAGCGTATAGCTAAGTCAGGTCCGCTGAAAAACGTTATGAAAGTAAAGCCGTGCTTGACGTGAGCGGTTGAAGGTGACCTAAATAAATATATAAATATCGATTGAATCTTGTAGAGCAGCTCTGGTGCATATGGATGAACATCGCTCAGCTTACCGTGTTATAAAGTTGTCATTTATTAGGGCAAAGATGTCATATTTTCTCATTGACATAGAGGTATAACCGTTGATTAATTAAATGAAAATAATTTCTTTCAGTAATGCTATATTTCTGAGTACTGTGTATTTAGTTTTTTGCTTCAGTTTTTGCTTTTTCTTCGGAAAGATTACGCCAACAATTCAACATGATCACATGGTCTCTAGTATGGTGTTCTACCTTTAGTTGTTGGCGATCTATAGCCTGTTTTATCTTGTATTGTTCTCCTTAATAATATCGTTTTACGATAACATGCTTGTTTTACCGTAATATCTGTGATACTCTCGTAGTTTTACTGTTCTTCGACAACAGGTTTTTAATTTCTAATTTTATTTATCTTTAATATAATGATTAAGTTTGGCTGCAATATTGCCCATGTGCTGATAAATATTAACTCAACCTGATCAATTTCTTTTTCAGACACGTACGAAACGAGTTTCCCCACGTACTGGAAACGAACGGTAAGTTGTTTGTTTTTGGAAAAAGAAAATGCAAACATCATTATTGTTAATCGAACATTTCCAGGAAAGAGTAAGAAAAATATGTATCATTATCGCCAGAGAATAACAGTAAATAACTAGTCTCGATTATCTCTCAAAACAGGGTCCATTCGGCGTCAAAGGCGAATTTGGGGTGAATATTACTTAAGATGATTACTGATGATCGGTCACCAGGTGTTCGCGAAAAAAAGATGTTGGAAGAAAGTAAATATATTCTATATAGTGATATAGCTGAAACATTGGTGAGTGCGGCGTTAAACCCCCCAAAAACCAAACTAATGTAATTGGTCGTTCATAAGGAAATCTGGATTATCGAATCAAGAGCACGTAATGCTTGCCTATTAATCATTTGACGGTAATAGTTCGGGATAAGGGTTTTTTCAGAGAGATCCAATCTGTTTATTTGCAGAATAAATTATTGAAAATCAACAATAACAACGACAAAAATCCTGTCTCCTTTCAGTTCAGTGTATATAAGGCGAGAACCGCATTTCAAAACGTGCACACCATGATGTCTAATCTTATGAATAATATTGAAACCTCGATAATCACTACAGATTTGTTTAAACTAATTGTATTAACTTATTTCCGGAGTATAGAAGATGTTCATGGAAATAAGTAAAATATGTAGACGGAGACATTATTAATATTACTGACATGTGCATATAAAAAGGAGTAATAGTAATATATATTTATAAATACTTATACTTTCCTGACAATAGTATCTACATTTTGTGGCTTCTTGATCAAGTAATTCGAAATTTCGGGGTTTCATTCTATAAGGATAACAGCTGCAACACCCCAACCATATCTAAATCGTATTTTCCCACAACGCCACGTTTACACCACAGTTTATGTATAAACGATATTGTTCAAATATCAACCTCCATTGATGTAGTACGCTAATGTTTATTTTCATTCCTTCCAGGCGCAAGGACCGTGGCAAGTCTGGGCAAACATATACTAATCATCTGTCACCATGTGGAGCATATAATTGATTTGTCATTTTCTTGAACGATCAATCATGTGTGCAATTAACTATGAAGCACTGACTACAGTAATATACAGTGGGCGGCTCTAGTCGCCCAGATTTCGAACGGTTTCTCTCACCATTGAAATATTTCCACACTTGCAAAAGGTCTGAAGAGCAGTGTTGCACTCTCATATCTATGGACTCGTAACATAAGCTTACCAATTTGTTCATCATCACGTCAATTCCAGACTGAAACCCACTGAACAGCCAACAGGTTCCATTTGGACGCCCAAATAGCATGTGATGCAAGACGCGACCGGTATTTGTTGATCAGCGATGGATATAGTAAACATAAACGTGTCGGGGAAAAAATTCACAATTCGTAAAAGCGTTCTCCTACGGTTTCCGCAGACAAAGCTTGGACGTCTGACAGAAAAATGGCCAGAATACAATCCGGAAGAAAACGAGTTCTTTTTCGACAGAAACCCCAAAGTGATGCTGTCAATTTTCGACCTGTATCGCACTGGAGAACTACATCTTCCTAAAAATGTTTGCAGTTTTACTGTGAAAACAGAACTGGACTTCTGGCAGATTGACGAATCGTTGATATCGGAATGCTGCTGGAAGACGTACACTACGACACTGAAGGCTAAGGCTGTGATAGACGTGATAGAGAGGTCCCTTAACGAACACCCCTTCGTCAAAACAGAGGAACTGACGACGAGGCAGCACTTTTGGATGACCATGGAGTTCCCCCAACATTCCATAGTTTCCAAGGTAAAACCACGTACATCACAGAATATGTTTCCAATCGCAGAATATATACTACCCATCAAAAGTTAAGACTCACTAGTGTAAATGCAGCCACGTACTTAAGTCAACTGTTCTAAACTAGATTTTGCAAAATTTTCCATACTGTTTAAAGGTACTGTTTACGCATGAACGGATGTATTGTAAAACAGATTAGTAACGTTGAAGAGATTATTGACATGAGTTCAATAAATGATGAAACTGAGTGACAATTGGTGAATTCTTAACAACATTTTACACCACAACGCAGCTGTTCGCATGCACGATATTTGCACATAGTTTTCAGCAATTGATGCATGATCCTCGTGCAATTCATCTGTTAGTGGAGAAATTATAATAGTTAGTGGAGAAATTCGTCTTCGATGTAACCACACATATATGCATAACATATAGTGAGTGCTTTAAGTGAGTCTAAACTTTTGATGGGTAGTATATGTATATTTTAGATAAACAGCAAAAATGGTAAAATCGCTAGCAGTTGAAGGGATGGTATAAATCCAGTTAGGGAACCGTGCAGGAAGCAAAACTATTATAAGTCCCCACGATTCCTGTGTATGGTGGCTTTATTCTGTTGCTAGCGTTCTTTTATAATTTGTATCACGCATGGTTAATTCCGAGTTTATTGTTTTAATTTTTCCTGAGCTAGTTTGCACAGATATGTGATAGTCTAGATATTTTGCTGTTACGTGAAAACAGGATTTCATACGGATTTTACAAATTGAAATTATAGCATTAAAGTAACTATTTAAATTGAATTAAAGTATATTTGTCTCGTCACGATATGGCTGAAATATTGTCGATGTGACGTTAAATTTTAACTGACTCACTCACTCTAAGGTAACGTTTAACATGTATAGTAGTGAAGCCGACAGAGTGAAATATTGCTGATAGTGAATGAGTGAGTGAGTGTGGTTTTACGCCGCTTTTATGACGTTTTACGTAATGACTATTACGGCAGGGGACACTAGAAATGGGCTTCGGACATTTTACCCATGTGGGGGGATCGAACCCGAGTCTTCGGCTACCTCACTGCCCCAGATTTACTGATAAACAAACAGTGCATTTTAATGTGTTTCTTTCATATTATTCATTAAAGAGCTTCGTGAAAGATGCTGAACCACATGCCAAGATACTATCAAAAGTTGAGCTAAACGACGACGGACTCTATAGATATAATCTGCAACCTAAAGATTGATGAATACATGACACGTTAAATGGATAACAGCTTCTTTTTATTCTGTACACGACATTTCCGAGATAATTCTTGTACCTTCATCAGGTGAATGAGCAGGAATTAGCTCTGAAACGTCGTGTAAAGAACAAAACTTAAGTTTTTCTCCATGCTAAGTGCCATGCATTCATGTTCGTCCAACTTCTAAATGCGTTCAAGAACTAAAGATTGATATTTGTCATTCACAATTCGTCTTCATGTTGCTGACGTATTGCTGAATTTAGCGTTTAACAACGAACCACCAAAGGGAAAGACCTCTCAACGACTAGATTCGTAAGGACGGGAAAGCCGCAATAACTCGGTGCGCCTTGTGGCAGCAAGAGTTGTATGATCCCCAGGGAGTTGAGATTGATATTAAGATATGCCGTTGAGATTGACATCCAATGATGGAGGTAAAAATACCAGCGCCTTGAGCATGCACTAGTGCTTGGATATGTGCGCTGTCTAAAATATCCAATAATAATAATAATAGGCTACCCTGTATAGAGTCGCTCCTGTATGCGAAGGAAAAATTATAACTTGTAGAGTAGAATCCCTCTCTCTCCAACTTGATTTATATGCTATTAGTAACTGGAATAACGTCAAACTTTGATTATGTTCGAATATTTAGATGGGCCTTGATAGGAGTGTGATTTTTCTGTGTATATATCATTGTTAAGTTTGAGTCGCAGCGGTGGCGTGGCCTGATGGCTCAAGAGTTCGGTCAATGTTTCGATTCAATGAATACAATTTCTGAAGGACGTTTATGTTGTCCATTGGCATGATATTACAGGAATGTTCCTAAAGCGCACATAACACGACTCTAAAAACTCTCATGGTGCTTAGGGAACTTCTATTCATGACATGTCTGAATCTTATGCCTGTATTCCTCCAAATAAATAAAATACGCATAATGTGTTTATGAGTTTATGCAACAAGGACACTTCATACCATCATAGCTAGGCCATTCCATTTAATAATTCGTATAACATGCTTATGCCATGCTTAGTTACGCATGTTTCTATCGTTTGTTTATACTCTCCTATCATGGTCTTTACGCCCCCCCCCCCCTACCCCATTTACACGGGTACGGTAAAACACTTCGTGTTTGTTACTATAGTCCTTAACATAGGTTCCTTTTAATGATAATAATAATTCATTTATATAGCGCCTAGTATCCATCTGACTAGTTGCTCACTGGACTCTGTAATCCAAATCTGGTTATTATTACCCCGGATAACCCAAGCTGCCTGTGAGGCGCTAGAAGGTTAATAGTCACATGACTTATCTCACCGGGTACCCATTTTGTGCTGGGTAAACAGAGGCAAGTTTGAACAAACTCACTTGGCCAAGGTGAAACCACATGTATCACATGTGCTTCGTTGTGGGGCAGGACTGAAGTCCTAGAAACTCTCAGGAGTCAAGCTTCCAAACACGGTCACTAATCCAAGGACTCTCAGCGCTGGACGTAGCTTAACGTCAACTGATTTGTGACCTGAGCTCTACGCACAGGACCACACACCACATATTACTTTGCATAACAAAGTACTTCCATTTATAAATAAGTATAAAGTAATCTACATCATACATTTATATTATCAAACAGTCCTACCCACAGTACTTTGCCAAGCTACCCACAATGCTTTTCGGTTCCGCCATAATGAATTCGGCTTCAGATTTGATATTTTTGTATTGCGCAACATCGCTTATTTTCTTATTTCTAATCGAATATACATTTTTAACTGTTAATGTTATCAACAAACATTTAAACCAGACAGGCGTGCGTAATAATACCCAATTAATTTGCGCCTTGAAATAATTGTAAAAAAATTATCAGCATGAAACATTATATCAAGCTTGCAGGTTTAACTCCTGTGGGTATTTATCTAAAACTTTCCAATATCGATATCGAATGTAGTCCTATTTTAATCTCCAACTGTTCCGCCAAGGACAGGCGATATTGTATACTGATCAATATGTCAGAAGATATACGTAAATAGCCTTGAAATCCACAAGTGGAGGTTGATTTTTTCCAATTGCAACAATAGCTAATGCTCCCACATGTTCTGAATACACATTGTAAAATCGATCACAGCGTGAATAATCTTTAAGCGAGCTATCGTGGCATTTTCAAAAACTAAGTTTGTTCCTTACGTCAATTTTAGACTTGATTTGCAGTGGACAAGCGTAGTGGATAAGTGAACAAGCGTCATGTTTTCGAATTAGGAAAAGAAAATTCTAGAACGGTGACCACAAATGAGGTCTTGATGAGCGTGTAGGTTCATCACGATCCAATGTTGGTTACACATGTGCTGTGAGAACGGCTTGATGGGGGTTCAGGTTTGTCCTCCTCCACTGTTTCTTACACATGGACTGTGAGAAGGTCTTGATGGGCGTGTAGGTAATCATACTTCCCTGTAGGTATCACATGGACTGTGAGAAGGTCTTGATGGGCGTGTAGGTAATCATACTTCCCTGTAGGTATCACATGGACTGTGAGAAGGTCTTGATGGGCGTGTAGGTAAATCATCATCAACTGTTGGTTACACATGGACTGTGAGAAGGTCTTGATAGGCGTGTAGGTAATCATCATCAACTGTTGGTTACACGTGGGATGAGAGAAGATCTTGATGTGCGTTCAGGTTAATTATCCTGCCCTGTAGGTATCACATGGACTGTGAGAAGGTCTTGATATGCGTGTAGGTAAATCATCATCAACTGTTGGTTACACATGGACTGTGAGAAGGTCTTGATGGGCGTGTAGGTAAATCATCATCAACTGTTGGTTACACATGACAGTGAGAAGGTCTTGATGGGCGTTCAGGTTAATTATCCTGCCCTGTAGGTATCACATGGACTGTGAGAAGGTCTTGATAGGCGTGTAGGTAAATCATCATCAACAGTTGGTTACACGTGCGATGTGAGAAGGTCTTGATGGGCGTTCAGGTGAATTTTCCTGCCCTGTAGGTATCACATGGACTGTGAGAAGGTCTTGATGGGCGTGTAGGTTAATCATCATCAACTGTTGGTTACACATGGACTGTGAGAAAGTCTTGATATGCGTGTAGGTAAATCATTATTAACTGTTGGTTACACGTGGACTGTGAGAAGGTCTTGATGGGCGTTCAGGTTAATTATCCTGCCCTGTAGGTATCACATGGACTGTGAGAAGGTCTTGATAGGCGTGTAGATAAATCATCATCAACTGTTTCTTACATATGGACTGTGAGAAGGTCTTGATATGCGTGTAGGTAAATCATCATTAACTGTTGGTTACACGTGGGCTATGAGAAGGTCTTGATGGGCGTGCAGGTTAATTATCCTGCCCTGTAGGTATCACATGGACTGTGAGAAGGTCTTGATAGGCGTGTAGGTAAATCATCATCAACTGTTTGTTACAAATGGACTGTGAAAACGTCTTGACGGGCGTTCAAGTTAATCCTCCACTGCTGGTAACACATGGACTATGAAAAGTCCTTGATGGACGTGCATGTGCATCATTCTCCCCCTTTGTTACATTTGGACTATGAGAAGTCCATGATGGACGTGTAGGAACATTTTCCCAACTGTTGGTTACACATAGACTACATGTACGAGAAGGCCATGATGGGCCTACGGGTGCATATGTCTCTCCTGATTGTAGCATCTGGACGGCCTTGACAATAATGTTCAGGGGCGATGGGCGGGAAGGAATGAACACCGTCGTGTCGATAACATCTGATGGATGATCAGGTGTCGCCTCCCATTTCGACAACAC